TAATAAAATACACATGTGAACCAACAATATAGGATTATCAAACTAGGTTTTGCTCTTTCCTGCAACATCTTACTTGGGCCTGTTTTTGCTCCTTGTCCCAGAGGCATGTAGTGATTTCAGATGAGAACAGCATAACAGCTCAAGAGAATCCATATTAACATATATGCTATGTCACGGATACAAGCATGAGTACATATACAGTTCCTTGCATCCACAATATATTCCTGCTCCCCAAATATCCACTGAATCTCTGAACTTCAGGCACATGAGGAGAATCACTCAGAATCATAGGCTGTCATTCCTCTGCTAGTCTTCACAATTGGTAGTATCTGGAGTATATTAGCATAGAGAGACCAGAAACCCAATCCTCATCTAGCACATCTTTCTTATGGCAATGTTGGCATTGTTAGCAATTCTCATGAAATTATTTCTTGCAGGGAAGAATCAAAATTTTTCAAAGTTACTTTTTGAACTACAGCTCCAAGAGTCCCCGAGCTATCACAGCTATAGAATTGTCAGAGCTGTGGAAAAAAAGTAACTTTGCCAATCTCTGAAAAAAGCATAAAATTTCACTCCCCAACCTTCATACTGTCAATAAATCCAAGATTTCAGCTACATATACTGCTATTGAGAGAAATGATAGATCATTATTCCAGTTTTTAAAATATAAAATTCCACTGTGCAAGACAAGAACCAATTTACATTCTTGAAGTCTATTTTTTCCTGTAGCAATGACAGTTGCCTAGCAATAAGCATTTTCAATCTTGGTATGAGTAAATGCAGCAGACATGCTTTCATTTTTGGAATGTAATTTTCTGTTTTAATGCTGAACGTTATTTTGATTTTTATTTAAAAAGTGCTTTCAGTTTAATTTTTAATACTTCACTGCCTCATGCAATTAGTGAAATAATTTATGTTCTGGATCATGCAACACATAGTTATTTTTATGACTATGCAGCCTTATTACTCGCTCTGACTTTTCCTGAAATATGTATTTGCTGAGAGGATCAAGATTTCTTAGACCTGCAAATGATGGCAGACCCAACCTTCTTTCTAGGAATCCTAGAAAACAAAACAGAATATTTGACATTGAGGTATCTCAAGCTACCTCTTTCCTTAGCATCATATGGTGGTTTAATTTCATTCTGTATTTTTTGCCATTCCACAAAATATATTCTTTTTTTAAAAACGGTGTTCATTTGAAGGAAAAATAAGAGCTTTACTTTTATTCCTACAATTCTCCCTGAAATAATAAATTTAACTTTCCCCATTTTTGTAAGTGTCTTTTAATTTTTCCAGACTTTTTCATAGTTGTCTTGAAATAATACTCTCTTGTCCTTTATAATAGTAACACCTAGATATTTAATCCCACTTTTTCCACTTTAAAACTTAGTTATTCATCCTCTTCTAAAGTCATGTTTTAGTCAATAGTTTTGCATTGCCAAAATGCACTTTAAACACAGGGCATGTCCAAAATACCTTCATTTTGTACTAAAAAGAGCCTTCATTGAATGGGTTTTGTGTGATTGTCTAGATTCTAGAGGGACCTTATCCCATTGGGATTAGCTACGCATTGTGGCAAATCCAGCAGGGCCCAGCATGGGGAACCCTTTATCTCACACCCTGCATTGCCTGCTTTCCCCCTCATCCCATCCCACACAAGGAAGCAGCCACTGTCCACCTTCCCCCATTGTTTCTTATGCAGCATGGGAAGCTTCTCATATTGCCACTGTAGCAGCCTACCATGCTTCCACTTCACTTATGGCATGGAGATCTGTTGGATTGATGTCATAGGGTGGGAGCCAGTAGGCTCTGTGCCACAAGTAAAATGGAAGTGTCATATGATGGCCAGTTTTGCCCGTCTGATGAGGCTATATATCAACCATGAAAACTCTCAGGTTATACTGTTCTCTTGTTTCATGCCATAAATCCTGTCACTTTGTCTGATATTTTTCAATAGATAATACCCATGGATAGGTCCACATCAGATAATTCGTAACTAGTTATACATTCATTAAAATTACCTTTTTGAAGCTATTTTGAGGTAGTTTTAAAAACTGGAAGTCCTTTTGCCCTTTTGAAGCTTTTTTCACCATTTTTGTTACAACCCAGGAAGTGAGGTGGAAATGGTTCCATGTTTTTTCAGCTCTCTAGCATGCTGAGAGGCATGCAGCTTGAATGCTTGGAGGCTGCTTGCCTCCCTGCCAATCAGGGGAGAAGTTTTGGGGAGGTGAGGGGCTTTGGCAGCCATTGCTCTATCTAAAGAGGAGCACATGGCTTAGAGGCTCATTTGGAACCCGGGAAGGGAAGAGAGAAGGGAAAGAGAAAGAGAAAGGGAAGGGAGGTTGTGTTGAAGGGAGGTTGGAAGAAGAGCAGGGCAAGCAATCAAGCAGAGAAGGGCTGGGAGAAGGGCTGTTGCCTGCCTGGCAGATCTCTCTGGCCTCAGTGTTTCTTAATTTGTTGCACATTGCCTCAAAAGAACTAGTTCTCCCATCAATTCAAGCCACTTTTTGAACACAAACTCTCCTTCCTAAAGTTGTGAAATCAGCTTCCAAGGCCAAAAGGTCTCTCTGTGTTCTTTTTTCCCTTGGTTTGCTCTGTGTTGCCACAAAAGATGCTACAAATCCCATACATTCAAACCTCTTCTTCCCTAACTTGTGAAATCAGCTTCCAAGGCCCCAAAAGGTCTCTCTCTGCCATTAACGAAACAATTAGGACATTTCAGAAATTTTGGAAAATTCTGAATTTTTTTTGGAAAAATTCAGAATTCAATTCCAAATCGAACCACCAGTGCCCCCTACATCTGAAACTAGTTTTGAACCATTTTTTTTTGCATCAACCAAGCCTAATAGATAACCAACACCCAAATAAACATTAAAAGTGTAAGGAGATATCCTTTCAGTTAGTCTTGTTGCATTGCCATTTACTAAAATTTGGGCTTTTTGAACTGAATATATTGCCCAAATAATATTTTCACCAAAGTCCTTTATTCTCAATATTTAAGTTTAGTACTGCCAAGAAATATTAGATGCTATAATTTGTTACTGATGTTTTATTTATGGATTATTTGTTTTTTAATGTTTTGTGGCATTGAATGTTTTCCATTCCCTGATAGAAACCACCTTGAGTCACCTCGGGGAGATAGGGTAGGTTACAAATAATAATAATAACAATTATTATTATTATTATTATTATTATTATTGTTTTACTGACACAAAGCCACAGTATGTCACAGCAAACGAGATCTATATGGTGGATTTTATATCACAAAATCACAAGTCGAACACTTCCCAAGCGTCTAGGATCGTGTGATGTATTTTTGAATGATGCGTGCAGATCCAAGTAAGGTGGCCTTTTGCAGTTGACAGATTGTGATTTTGTCAATGTTTATTGTTTCCAAATGCTGGCTGAGATCTTTTGGCACGGCACCTAGTGTGCCGATGATCACTGGGACTACCTGTACTGGTTTATGCCAGAGCCTTTGCAGTTCAATTTTGAGGTCCTGATAACAGCTAAGTTTTTCCTGTTGTTTTTCCTCAATGTGACTGTCACCTGGTATGGTGACATTAATAATTCAAACTTTTTTTCTTTTCCACAATAGTGATGTCTGGCATATTGTGATTCAAAACTTTGTCAGTCTGGATTTGAAAGTCCCACAGTATTTTTGTGTGCTCTTTTTCCACTACTTTTGCAGGTTTATGATCCCACCAGTTATTTACTACTGGCAGATGGTACTTGTGACATAAGTTCCAATGAATCATTTGGGCCACAGAGTTGTGCCTCTGCTTGTAGTCACTTTGTGCTATTTTCTTGCAGCAGCTAAGGATATGATCAATGGTTTCATCCTCTTCCTTGCACAGTCTGCATTTTAGGTCATCTGCTGATTTTTCAATCCTGGCCTTAATGGCATTTGTTCTGATGGCTTGCTCCTGGGCTGCAAAAATCAGGCCTTCTGTCTCCTTTTTCAGTGTTCCATTCGTGAGCCATAACCAGGTCTTCTCCTTCTCGACTCTTCCTTCAATTTTGTCAAGGAACTGTCCATGCATTGCTTTGTTGGTGTCAGCTGTCAGCTGTGCTTTGTACTGCGGTTTTCTTGTACTGGTTCTTTGTTTGCTGTGCTTTGAGAAGTTTCCGATTATTGACTTCAATCAAAGCAAGTTCTTGGCTTTCCTTTATATATTCTGCCAGGGCATGTTTTTCTTCTTTGACTACTTGTTTTACTTATAATAGTCCTCTGCCACCAGACTTTTTAGGCAGATAGAGCCTGTTGTTGTTGTTGTTGTTGTTTTTCTGAGTATCTTAAAAAATCAAAATAGCCTTTTTGTCATTATGGTTTTCCAAAACTTCAATAATGTAAAGAACATGGAAAATTCACATCTTTATAGTGCTTTACAGATACAGGTGGCACTCCATATCCACAGATGGTTTTTTTTTAAATAATAATAATAATAATAATAATAATCCAAAAGACAAAACTTTATTTTGACATTTCATATAAGGATTTCTATCTTGCTATACCATTATAATGGGACTTAAGCATCTATGGATTGTGGTACCCACAAGATACTCTGGAACCAAACCCCCGTGGCTACCAAGGGCCTACTGATTTTACATTGCCTGTGAGAAGGGCAGTGGAGGTATACCAGTCAACTGCGTTTTTAGCAACTGAAGTAAGTTAATGACAAAAATGAGAAAACTGAAGGATAAGTCAGAAACTAGGAAATTTGAAATGCAGCTGAAAAGATTGGACAGTTAAAGATGAATTGGGGTTGTCCTAGCTAAATCAGGACAGAGTCGGGTATGCTGTTGCCTACCTTTCTTTTACTCATTCTTGCCTACCTTTCTCCCAGAGACTATAAAGCTGTAGCAGTCACAAGCAGAGGTAACCTGTTTATATAGTTTTCTCAGCAAGGGTACATTATAGCATATTTTTATAGATTTTCTACAGTCATTTGAAGTGTGGTGACATTTCAACAGCCCCCCTTCCCTCTTTTTCACAGGCCCATCTTGTGGCAGCATTTGAAAAGAGCTTAGGAAATATGACAGGCCGGTTGCAAAGCCTAACAATGACAGCTGAACAAAAGGTATGTTTGAAACAGCAGATGCTGTAATATGGAAAAAGTTGTTGCTTTATATTAAAGTTTACATTGAGGGCTGAGTGAAAGGACAGCTGTAAGAATAAACAGATGGGTGCATCCTTTTTTCATGACCCTCCCTATCGAAGCTTCATAAAGTCTCAATAAGAATAACATTGTGCATCATCAGGTTTAATGTAGCTATATCAGAAGGCAGAGTGAAGATAAAATCTTTCATTTCCAGTTTTTAATTAAAACATTTACGAGTCTGGATTTAATCTGTATTGAAAGGTTTGACAACAAAAGCTGGTCATAAACCAAATGGAGTGTTTGTTCCATTTGGATCACATTATCAGAATACTTATTGTGAGATGATAGGTTTTTTTAAGGAGGCTGGAAAGACAGTTTTCAGACTTTTATTAAGTGTCCTTGAAGGGGGGTGATGGAGGACAGTTCATGTTTTTACTTTCTTTTGCATATGCCCATCACTCAAAGTAAACATTTTCAAACCTTACTGCTGAAACTGAGTCGCAGAGGGGGAAATGAGGCTAATTGTAGGCAAAATGATGTCACCTTACCTTCTAGTTTGACTTAATTAAGGAATCCTATAACCCAAGAAGTAGATTCTTCCTATGCCGAGTTGAGCAACAATTACTTACAGTAAGATAGTTCATTTTGAAACAGTTCAGATGTTGGTTTCCTTTTAAATAAAATGTTCCGAAATAAACTTCTTCCATTTTGTTCATTCCATATTTTGTAAAATTGCTGCCTTTCTTAAAGGAGTTTGTATTCGTTACTTTAACCTCAATAGGCTTTCTCAGATATTTGTTTTCCTACTTCCTTGCAGCTAAGGTTAAACATCTTTAGCAACTTTAATCTCCATTATATAAAATGAGAACATGAAATGGCAATAATCTAAGCAGTTTTAATTCAAACTCTGCTTGTTAAATTATATCCTACTAGAGAGGAGTTTTGTTGTATTATCGAAGGCTTTCATGGCCGGAATCACTGGGTTGTTGTAGGTTTTTGGGGCTTTAAGGCCATGTTCTCGAAGTATTCTTTCCTGACGTTTTGCCTGCATCTATGGCAGGCATCCTCACAAACTGCTTCTAGAGCATGTTCATACAGCCCAAAAAACCTACAACAACCCAGATATTTTGTTATTGCATGTCTTGTGAATGAAAAAGAAATCTTAAGGAATATTTATTTCTTCCCCCACAGAGCATTAATTCTTATTACAGAGTCCTGTAAACACTAAAAACTTCCAATCTGAGAATTTTGACCCAGGATTCAAAGAAATCATTTCTCCTCATTTTCACCCACAATACAATTGTACATTGTGTAAATTGTTACCCTAGAGGAGAAAAAACATGGTTATTCTGATACATTTTTACTCTTTTCCCGCTGTTTCCAAAGGAATCGGAGCTCATAGAACTACGGGAAACCATTGAAATGCTGAAAGCCCAGAATTCGGCTGCACAGGCGGCTATTCAAGGAGCTTTGAATGGCCCTGACCACACTCATAAAGGTACAGTGTTTTGTTTGTTTGTGTTGCACTGAGAATAGATTTATGCTCCAGAGATTTGCTAAACTACTGATTTTCTGTTGCTTAGAAGAATGGAATCTGTGCCACTATTTAACAAGAGCTTGGCAAATACCGGGGCCAGCATAGTTGCTGTAATCAACTCTCCCATCCTCTGGTTTTGAGATATTATTCTTCACAGAATGTTTGCAGTATTTGTTGTTGTTGTTGTTTTTTTTTTTTTGCTTCTGGGAAAAACCTCACATTATTGCTTATATCCCACAAAATACCAGGGAGCTTTTTGGTTAATCAGAGTTCTCTTGAGGAATTGCAAAGGGCAGGAAGATATTTTGAAAATGGTCAAGGAGACTTAGAGGAACAGCTGGGGGGGGGGGGGCAGCCATCATATTCAAAACCCTGTTTGCACATTCCTGCCAATATAGAAAGTCAGAGCAAAAATGGTTTTGTTTGGTTTCTAGCCCAGCATATTTTACTTTGTTTAATATCTCACTCATTCATAGAAAAAATGCCAGCCCAGGTTGGAGTGGGTTTCCAACTAATTGTGTAGCATGTTGTCCACCTTTGCAACCCGAAAGGCAGTTGCATCTGTCAAGTAGGAAAATTAGGTACCACCTTAAAGTGTGGAGAGGCTAAATTAACTAATTTATTAGGCCATAAAAAAGACTCCAGCAAAAAAAAAAGCATGCGGGGAATGCGGAAGTACTTCATCAGTGTCACAGATGGACGATGAAAACAACAGCTCCCCTGGCGGCCAGAAAAAGTTAAATAGCCTCTGTGTATGTCTGTATATGTTGTATGTCAAAATTGGCATTGAATGTTTGCCATATATGTGTACACTGTAATCTGCCCTGAGTCCCCTGCGGGGTGAGAAGGGCGGAATATAAATGCTGCAAATAAATAAATAAATAAATAAATAAATAAAAATGGAGAGGAGAATAAGATATAGGTTTAGATGGTGCTTTTTTGGAAAGAAAAATAGTTTGGAATCCAGAACTTCTAGAGTAGGTTCCACTTGCATCCTAGATTTCTACATTTTTATTGCCAAGCAGTCCTCCAGTTGCAAATCTCTCCAAGGACACAGAGGAAACCCTAGTGATAGTAGCTTTCTGTTTAGACCAGTGCTTCTTAGCCTGAGGATCCCCAGGTGTTTTGACCTACAACTCCCAGAAATCCCGGCCAGTTTACCAGCTGTTAGGATTTATGGAAGTTGAAGGCCAAAACATCTGGGAACCCACAGGTAGAGAACTACTGATCTTGACAATGGAATCCTTCCTTGCTCTATTCAACCACTTCCAGAAAACGACATAGATTAGATTACTCTCTTTTTCTCTAGCTGAATTTAGATAACAACTTTCATTCTCTATATTTGTGGGTTAAATGTGCCTCTCTTAAGGAATAACAGAGTGAAAATGTGTGTTTAACTTTTATTCATAGAAATCAGGAAAAATATTATTCATGTTGGTTGGACATTTCCTTCGGGCAGGATACTGACCCATTTCCATCTGTGATATTTGTTTGTTTGTTTATTTACTTACTTTACTTTATTTATAGCCTGCCTTTCTCCCAGGGGGGACTCAAGGCTTCTAACAATCACACATTTTGGTCACAATTTAAAACAAAGCGAATACAAATTATATTTCCATTTCCATTTGCAATGGACACAGGGGACTGCAAGAGAAATGAGAAGGAAAAAAAAAACATTGTTCTACAAACATGAACTCTATTTCATTCCTGGAAGAAAAGTTAAGATGCAAGAATAATCACAATATATAGCAGAGCATCATTATGCAAGCTGCTGTAGTTACACCAAAACATTCCAATTTATAAGGTGAATTAAGGGTTTAGGATTGTTTTGATTCTTAGGAGCCTGTCCAGCTTCCTTCATTTTGGTGGAATAAAAATGCACAAAATGTTGACACTTTGGATCAAGAAATTTCCTTGAAAGGAAAGATGTTTCACAAAAACTTTTTCATAGACTGGGAACTATGTCTTAACTTTGTAAAAAGAAAGAGGGAGAGGTTGTTATAGAAAGCCTTGTAATTTGATCTGTTAGAATTTTTGCATGGAATTTTTAAATTAAAAAAATAGGAGCATTTACACTCTAGATCAGTGGTTCACAACCTGTGGTCCATTGACCACCAGTGGTCCACAAGAACTAAAATATGGTTCGTGACTTTATCGTTACTACACCATTGCAATAAGAGCAGCTGTTCTCTCAAAACCCTTTTATAGTGCCAAGGCTTATTAAATATGGTTTTCTGCAGGTGATGGCGACTACTGGATGGCTTATGTTCTGTACCAGGAACTAGAGCTGATGTGGTCTATCCAATGCATTTTTTTGAATCAGCACCCCAAATAATCTAAAGTTGACCAAAACTTGGTTGTTGTAGGTTTTTTCTGGGCTATATGGCCATGTTCTAGAGGCATTCTCTCCTGACGTTTCACCTGCATCTATGGCCTGCATCCTCACTACCTCTGAGGATGTTTACCATAGATGCAGGCAAAACGTCAGGAGAGAATGCCTCTAGAACATGGCCATATAGCCTGAAAAAACCTTCAACAACCCAGTGATTCCGACCATGTAAGCCTTCGACAATACATTGACCAAAACTTATTTGTAACCCTTTTGGTACTAATGTTGGAGAGTGGTTCCTGGTCAAGTGGTCAATAAAAGGTTGGGAACCACTGGTCTAGATATAGGTAAATATTAGATAGATGATAGATAGAAAGATAGAAAGATAGATAGATAGAGGATAGATAGATGATAGATGATAGATATTTTTATTGATGTTCTTGACAAATGTATTGTAATGCTTTTAATTGTGAGCCACTTTGAGTTTCCGTATGGAGAGAAAAAGTGGTATATGAATACTACTACTACTACTACTATTTCTACAATTACTACTACTAATAATAACAAATGTGCAAACTTAAAATTTTCAAAAAATAAACAAAGAAAAGAAAGGTATTTCCACACTGAAATCTTTTATAGATCTGCGAATAAGGCGACAGCATTCCTCAGAAAGCGTTTCCAGCATCAACAGTGGCACAAGCCATTCAAGCATGGGCAGTGGTAATGATGCTGACTCCAAGAAAAAGAAAAAGAAAAATTGGGTAAGTGTTTTACAGATTTAGAAATACTGCTTTACTGTCCTTCTGTATTTCCCCTGCCCTGTCTCAAAAAATACGGCGTATATAAATATCCATGTTAGTGTGTTGCGGTTGTCGCTAGATTGATATGGATCCATTTGCATGTGTGAGGTAGCAATATTGGCAAACCAAATGTATTTATATCATTTTAAACACATATGTAAGCTACAGCATTTTCTAGCTTTTTCCTGTTCGTTCTGTATGATGGGTCAAATGTCCAGAATACTTTATTATACAATGGAGGAAATCTGATGGAAATGTTTAAACCTAAATAAATATAAAGCTTTTGCATTGAGAAGATTGTATACGTATCATGAGGACTTTAGCTTTTGCTGAAATAATGGGATAATTTACTTCTATTGTTTAAAATATGTTTATTACACAGGTAATATTTTTAAAAATACTGACTCCAACTTCATTCCCTTGATTTGTAATTGCACACTCTTTCATGTTTCTGCAAGGTGAACTCTAGAGGAAGTGAGGTGAATATAAACCCCTGGAAAATTTGGCATGCATCTCAAAGAACTCTATCTTGGCATGATTGCTATTCATTTTGGCAGTAGGCTTTTATACTCTTCTAAAACAGATTATTCTTTATGTCTCCTTAGTTTTTTTCTCTATTCATTTTGCCTCCAACTTTGAAATCTAGAAAGGGGGAGTGTTGCCAAAATCCATTTCTTTCTTCTTAGATATCCAGAAAGAGCATAAATTATTGCAATCCAATCCAATGCTTATTGCTTATACTTTCATTCTTGAACTGATGTTTGTAGAATAAAGTGCTCCAATATTTCACAGAAGAATAATTTGGGTGATCAAAGCAATTATTTTGGAAGGGGAGTGGGGTAAAACAAACCTTTCCCTTTGGTCTGTGTAGCTGCGTGCATTGATCAGAATCATATGACAACTCAAGAGATAACTGCATCATACTCATTGCAAACCTAACTTTTGCCATCTCAGTTTCTGAAATAAATGGCTCTTTGGCTATTCTGTCCCTTTCAACAATGGATAAAAGTTTCTATAGCAACAAAAAGTGAAAAAGAAAAAGAAAAAGGCAGTGCTTGTACATGTGAACTTGCTTCTTTAAAACTGAACTGCAGTAAATGCCTCCTCTTTCCCGATCCTTTCAGCTTCTTGTTAGCAAAAGACAAGCACCTTATTGCAGCTTGAATATGCTTATTTTTAATCTATGCTTCTGAGAAGTAATAGGTTCAAAATATTAATGGAAAAACAATTAGTCATGAACAATGCACATAATCATATTGATTGGAATGTATTTTTTTTTAAAAAAAATGATGAATTTTAAACAATTTAAAACCAGTCACCTGAAAGGGAATGCCTGAAAAACAGGCTTCCACGGGAGGTGTAGGGTTTTAAATGAGCATCTATTTAGCTGTACTACTTGATCCTGCACCTTTTCCATAACGCTGTGCTCAGTTGATTTTTAAAAGAACTCTTTCATTCATGTTCCTAAAGATACTGTGTTGCACATGTTAATACCTGCTTATCTATATACTGACTTCAGGCAGTAGCTAGATTGGCATCTGCAAACTAACTTTTCAGTAAAAGAAAAACATAAAGTGAACCAAAGCATCAAAAGACATCCAAATAAATGTATTCTGTTTTCATTTTTTTCTAGCTAAGAAGTTCATTCAAACAGGCCTTTGGGAAGAAGAAATCTACAAAGCCTCCTTCTTCACATTCTGACATAGAAGAAGTGACAGATTCGTCTCTTCCTTCCTCGCCCAAATTGCCCCACAGCTATGGAGAGTGTCCATCTTCATCAATAAAGCCATCCCAATCAACATCTGCGTATGTTTTCTTCTTTTTGCACAAGATTTTCTTTTAAAAGATTGTTTATGATCAACATAGTAGTTAAAGGAGCAACCCTTGGTTTTGTGATTGGTAAAGTATCGACTCTGCCTCTGAACTTTTGGTCTGGTGCTCCCATGTAAATACTACTCCTTTCTCATTTTAGACCTCTTATTCCACTATTTAGAAATTAGCCCAAATCCTGGCTGTTTTCTAGCTTCATATGCTTGCTTTACAACTTTCTTGAAAAATACAGATCTAGCATTCTTCCCCCCCCCCTTTCCTTTGGAGCAGAGAGGTACATGTCTGACTGACTGTCCCGTCTTTTGGTTTTTTTGCCTTGCCTCAAAATCTTTCAGACACTTCTCTTCTAACTAAAAGCAACACTCCTCCACTATCTAGGACCAACATTTTTGCAGTGTTTTGAAGACAACTGAATCCATTATGGCATAAATTGTCATAATCCTATCAGATGCACAAAATGTAATCCTCAATTGATGAAGCATGCATGTATGCACATGTGTTGACAGGATACATGTGTTAACACACCTAGATATGAATATAAGTAGAATGGGAAGTGAGACAAATATTGTTAAAATATTCCCCTTTATTAGACAGCATATGATCCAGTCAATAGACCAGGAAATGCAGCAGAGATTATATGATCATATAAGTAGTAATGAGTATGTACATATGTGCCTTTAAGTTGCCTTATTTACATAGTGTTTTCTTAGATAAGGAATGTTCAGAAGTGGTTTTGCCAGTTCTTTTCCCTGAAACACAGCCTACAAAACCTGGTAGTCACTGGCAATCTCCCATCCAAATACTAATTAGGGCCGAACTGCTTAGATTCTAAGATCTTTTGATATCAGGTGTTTTTAGTGTCTTTAGAGTATTATAGTGAGCAGACACTGCAATATGAGATGCATCCTAAAACACCTAAGGCAGGAAAGAGGTCCTTCTAGTAGTGAAATAAGCTATTTACTTTCAAGTTTAATGCTTTTACCGCCTCTCATTAGACATGGGTAACTCCAATTAACTCCAGGTTTTGTCCACCAAAGCACTTAAAGATACTCCCTGGGACATTTGCCATTTGCAAAACACTGTGTGGCTTGGCTTGTGAAGCAATAATTGCTGTTGCTGTCATGTAATGGCACTTCACATAATAAATAACAAGAGGCAGCCAGTCCTGCCAAAAATGAGAAGGAAAGAGTAACATTACCAATATAATAATTTGTAAAACAAGTTACCAAAATAGAAATATAAACGCCAAATGCAATGTAATACAAAACAAGCTAATTGCTTTTATATACCTTTGAACATATGCTTTCCTTATAGATTGCACTGATGCATTAAAATATATTGCCAATGTTGCTTCCTTCTCACTCCTCTGCCTAAGTATTAAAAATGTGCAATTAAAATAACTTCAGGTTTTTGATTGATAGTTTGGAACTTTTTGTCATGCCCAAAATCTTCCTTCATATATAAAAAATAATCTCTCATACTTTCCTAACAGCTTTTTCTTGATATATTTTTCTTGATCTAGACAAGCATATATAGATAAGTTTGTTTATGTAGGAAGGCTTTGACATGAGAGAGCATTTGAAAATTGAAGTTGCAATTCTGCACACATTTTATGGTGATCATACATTCAGACATTTACTTGCTGTCTGATTTTGTGGCAAAGAGGTATCCACTACACAATATCCCAGAGTACTTGTAAGATATCAGCACAAACACAAAACAATCTATGCGTAATGTCAAAGTGTATTATCAAAAGAGCATATAGTATTCCATTTCAAGTGTGAATTTACTTCAAGCAGTCACTTTTTGTATAAGCTATCTGGCATGATATAAGAGTCTAGAGTTGCTGACTTTATCAACTCCTGAGGAAGGGGACTGCTTTCCCCGAAACAGGGTACAAAAATACCTGGGCACCCCTGTTGAATGCCATTGGGACTTTTCCTTTGAAGACTTATTTTGAGAAGCAGTGCTCCATTTTCACTGGACTTTAGTTGGATCTTTTCCATGAAGATTGTTTTGAGAGTGGCGCTTCATCCTCCTTATTGTCTTCAGTTTACATATAGCCTCATGACTCAATACTTACTTTGTTTATATGACTTTTCTTATTGAATGTATCCCTGAAGCCTATATACAGTGGAATCCTTATCCAGACCTAGAACTGTTATGTTTGAGAGCGGCTGCTCCTTTTGAATTCTGTGTACCACTGAATTGAGCTATGTTCTGGGGATTTTGGTAAATGGAATACTATATGCTCTTTTGATAATACACTTTGACATTACGCATAGATTGTTTTGTGTTTGTGCAAAGAGGTATCCATTCAGCTTGATGATGATTGGCATATCTAAAATCTAAATTATGCTATATTTTTATTATTTAGTTTATCATTCATTACCCACCCAACCATCTTATATTTCCATTCTATTGCATAGTTGGCTTTTCATGTTCCTTTTGTTTTGTTTTGGCCTGATTCCCATTTTCTAAATCATTTCCTTTACTTTCTTTCACTTGCATCTGTCTGTCTAATGCATGTATATGCAGGTCATCCTTAATCTGGGCTCCAAAGAAAAGACAAAACGGTCACGTGATCTACAAACATAGATCCCGGTAAACTGGCATGTGGGGCTTCAAATGATATCTTCCAAAAACTAGAATAAAATTGGCAGTTATCTCCCCCCCCCAGTCAATTTTTTGTTGTCATTATTTGTTTTTTGGGGGGTGGGGTATGTTTACATTATACTGCAGCTGTAAGATAGCATGCATGATATAACATGTAGTGTTTTAATAGTCGGATTATGTAGAGGGATACTGTCCAGGACTCACTCACACAACAACTGGAAAAAAACATTTTCAGTATGTTTCAAGAGGAAAGCAATTTCTTTCATTTACTTTTAGTTTTAGGCTTAATTACTTCTCATCTGGTTTAAGAAAGAGAGCTTCATGTAACAGTCCTTTCCATTTTGCACATGGGAGAGAGCAAGGAGTCTCCCTTGTATCAGAGCGGTTGGTTTGTGTGAGAAAGTGGCAGCAAGGCAGGCTATAAATATGCAACTAGGCTACTATTTTACATTCCTATGTGTCTCCGGGAGGAAAAATATTGAACCGCATCATATGTCAACCCCAATATGGATATTCAAGGAAATGTGATAGTGCAGTTAGGTCTGTAGCTAGGTTGAAACCTGCACGGTGAACTGGTTAGAGTGTGCAGAGAACCTCAACATTTGGATAGTTTTCAGTGTGGAGTCACTGCCATATGCAATCATTCGTCAAGAGATCCTCATGTGACTATATTAACGGATGAAGCAACTGAACTGGTGAATTTAAACATTCCCATTTATCACTTCTGGAATCCAACATCAAGTGATAATTTGCTCCATCAAGTATCAAATACCCAGTTATGGCATCTCCAAATGTCCAAACTTGACGTTAAGCAATGTAATATATTAATAGAATGTGTTCACAATGCATGTTGCAAAAACAAGTGAATGATACCAATACTGAGTAAATAAGAAATAGTAATGCACAGGTAAATTGACCATGTATTTTTTCACTGCATAATGCAGAGAATATTGACAAATATAAACAAACTGTTCACTTTAGTACTTTCCTTTTAATCATGACCATTGGAAAATACTTCACGTTTAATACAACTGCATTATAAACCAAGAGCTCTTTTGTAAAATACAGTAAAATAAGTATGCAGAATAATAAATGCAAAAATATGGAGTTAAGTAGGAAAGCTATAGAAGGAAGGTTATTAGATATTTGCTCCTTTTATGTTTTTAAATGGAGCCCATTCACACTGCATTACTGAATTCATGAAATTGTCCCTATTGGACCTAGGAGTCACACACAGCAACCCTTTTCTATTATTTGACACAGAACAATGGCACTGTACCATTTAGAGAGAACATTTCTTTAATCTTCTGCCTCTTTACTTTCTCTTTTCTTTTTTAGGATCTGTGAATGCACAGAGGCAGAAGCTGAAATAATTCTGCAACTGAAAAATGAGCTCAGGGAGAAAGAGCTCAAGTTAACAGATATTCGTCTTGAGGCTCTCAGTTCAGCACACCATCTTGACCAGATTCGAGAAGCCATGAATCGCATGCAGGTCAGATCAGCAGAATAATTGACTAGAACATTACTCACTAAAGCCATGTATTTTAAACCTGAAATGACAATCGCTATGGAAGAAAGAAATGGGATCAGTGGAAATAATTTAGCTGTGACTGGAAAATAATGTAATAAATACAGAAGTAGATCCTTAGATTATTGTCTCTTTGTGAAATGTGCTATTTTGCCTGTCACAGTCATTGGCAATGATCCCCTATAATTGTTAGTTTCTCTGCAGAAATGTCCTAAGAAATAATCTACTTAGAAAGGAAGCCGAATGGCTGCTGGGGATTTAGAAGAATGTTAGCTGTTTCCAGGCTTCACAACGCTAGTCTTTATGACTTCTTAACCCTTGGCCTAAATTCTGTCTTTTCCAGCTTTGTGCTTTTGTGCTGTTATCATCTTCTTCCAATAGCCAGGCTTCCAAGATAGTAAACCAGTTTGATTTGTAAGATAATACTTACTAAGATTTTTAAACTCAATTAGTTGCAGGCACATACAAGGTAGTTAATTGTGTAATGCAATACTGTATACTCATAGGTATGCTCCACTAACTTTAGAAGGACTTATTTATAGGGGCATGGCCTGAAACCCACAGTTCTAACCTAAATATGGTTATTTATAAACATAAATGCCATCATGGGTTTAATTTTATTGAATTGTTTCAATATGGTTAAGAGAAGGAGATAACTTTGGTTGTCTTGATGGCCAATCTACATTAGGAACTTGATTAGGGATACTGTATTCCTGTTGGTCCTGAACCTCTCAGCAGCATTTGATACCACAGTAGTCTATTGGGTCAATTCTCTTGGGTGATACTTGGAAATGCCATTATGCAAAGACTTCAGTTCTTTTTGGTTAGCCAAGTTCAGAAAGTAGTGCTCGAGGATGCCTGTTTCATGCTCCAGCTGTTCAACTGTAGCATCCCTCAGTTTTGCAGCCTGTGCTGTTTAACATTTACTTTAAACTACTGAGATAGGTTGTTCTGAATTGAGGAATTTGGTATAACAATATGCTAATGATGCCCTTCTCTCGTTCTTTTTTCTAATTCTGAGATAAAGCTCTTTAATCAGTAATGAATTGGATGGATCAAACAAATTGAAGTTTGATCCATTCAAAATGCATGTGTTTCTGATCAGTCAAAAGGCAGTCAGAAAATAGCTTTCAAACTATGCTGGATGTGATCAGATTTTCCCTAAACAGTTTTGAGAGGAGGTGTTATAGGATTCATCCTTGAACCTCTATTTCAGACATGGCCAGGAATGCATTTGCACATTTGAAGCTCATGGACTAGCACCAATATGATGTCTGCATAGTTTTTTTTAAGGGTGTAGCATCAACTGCATATTAAAGAGACACACACACAATAGACTCTTTAATATATATATATATATTATACAGGGAGTCCCCAAGTTACAAACAAGATAAGTTTTCTAGGTTTGTTCTTAAGCTGAATTTCTATGTAAGTTATAGCAAGTATATTTCTAAGTGTTAACTCCAGCCATATCTATCTGTCTATCTATCAGCTTTGGGTAGCATAGGGATGGAATAACACCTCTGTGGTATCTATTTTGCTGTCTCTGCCCCTGTTCAAAAGATTTCACCTCACTTTTTGTCCCTGTAATAACTGGATTTGGAAAATTTTGACTTTTTGTGGAAACAAGAATTGGTGAAAAAGCTTCAGTAGAGACACCTTTTCCTCATGATAACTATTTCAGGAATGAATTTCCCTTCCTAGGAGTGAATTTCTCTCACCTTGTTGTCTCACTCCTATTCTTAACTATGAGTCATTTGTAAGTCAGATGTTTGTAACTTGGGGACTTCTTGTGTATATATATATATATATACACACACACACACAAACACACCTCACACATACACACACACATAATATATTGCATCTCAACAGTAAAAGAAAATATTAATCAAATTAATAAATGATAATTTACCAAGTTACAATTGAGTTAGTACCCATTCTAATTGGAATTTCCAATGGAACTAGTTCCATGAAGTAAGTAAAGTCATTACTCATTTCAGTGGGCTATTCAGAGCACATATCAATAGGGATTCAACTTTCTATTAGCCACTCAAGTAGTTTTATGGATTTTTGCCATTTCCCAAAAGCTATTGGAAGGAGTTGTGTATTTTTGGCACATTTTAGAGGCACCACGGTTATCCATTGCTTGGCAGCTCTACCTCTTCCCAACTGCTTAATTAGTTTCTTGCTTAATTGGTTTTTTAATCTTTCTAAGCCGTCATTTTCAGTTTCTTGTTTTTCTTTATGATGAGAATGTGAATGCAAAATCTTTTAATAATCCTACAACACTAGGATGTTACAAATTTGAGATCAAAATATAGTTTTAGATTCATAGCACATAGTTGTTTGAACTTCATGAAGCAGCCAATATGTTGATTTGATCCAAGAACTCACTTCCTAGCATCATGTATCTTCTTATGCCATTAGTATCAATTGAGTAATAATTTAACAGTGCCTAGGTTTTATCTAGAAATAAAACTTTCCTTGGAGGATTAGATCTTTGTTATTGATTATGGTGGGTCTCTATCATGGCCAGATTCCACATACATACAGCAGGATCTCATTTACAGATATTTATTTAGGCCACTAGAAACATGTAAAAGTACTGAAAACTGAGAGTTTATTAAATTCCAAACTGTTAATTTCCTTGGATGGTGTGTTTTCCTATTTTTAATGGAAAAATGAGCCTCTCAGAGTCATGGTTTGGTACCTGTTTGCTGGACAAAGCAAATAGCATGAAAATGTAGAAAATAATTTTGTACCACTGTGCCCTTATTCTAGCCAGCCATCCTATTTTTCTGGTGGTGGTTGTGTTTACCATATCTTACAATGTTAATAGAGGGTCCCTGTGTCAGACAGTGGCGAAATCATTTAGACTGCACAGGAATAAATATGAATGAAATGTTCAGCCTCTTTGACTTGCAAATTAGATTTAGCCTAATGGTACAATTAATTTGAAGTTCCAGTATATATGTTTTATCTAGATCCTTTTTCATAGAATCAAAGAGGCGATCTTTACAAGACTAAGTAAATAAAAATGGGTCACATAAAAGTTTCAGCTGATATGCTGCTGAAAATTCTAGTTTGACCTTCTTATAGCCCTGAAACTTACTTTGCTTTGGGTGACATATTATGCATATCCATAATTCATTCACTTATATTGAATTCCTTGTTTACCACTGCTACTATCCCACTGTTAAATATTGATTTCCTGTACTTTAAATACTAGAATGAGATTGAGATATTGAAAGCGGAGAACGATCGTTTAAAGGCAGAGACTACAAATACTAGCAAACCCACCAGGCCAAGTTCAGAATCTTCAAGCAGCACATCTTCCTCTTCTTCACGGCAGTCTTTGGGGCTTTCCTTGAATAACTTGAACATCACTGATTCAGTTACATCAGGTAAATCAATTTTTTCTGCTTTTCTACAGTTTTTAATGCCTTGCCATATTGTATAGCAATTTCATATTTTAAATGCTGAAATGCTGTTCATTATAAAAATAAGGTCTTCTGTTTTAAAATTGGAAGTAAATGAGTTTATTGATGATAAATAATAATGTGCTATTTGTATTATCAGAATGACAGAGTGGCAAACCAAGGGGAAAAGGTGGAAAGGAACAAAACTCATCATTGTTTAGTAGAGTTATACTCCACCCAGCCTCTTAAGAGCTCAAGTGTCTTACAATCAAACATCAAATCAATTAAAATCACAAATTGCAAATGCATATCTAAATATCACAAATCACCTGAAAGTGTAACCTCTAAAATTATGAATTGCAAACATTTAGTAATATTTTTTTCCAAAAGTAATTCAGAGAGTAGAGAAAACAAATCAATCACTTACATTATTTCCTGGAAACAACTGGATCTATAATAGAAAGAGGCCCCTAATAAGGTACCTTATTCAGTTTTATCTTGTAAGCTAAGCAGCATCAACTCCTGCTAGTATTTGAATAGGAGATCACTAGCAAATACCAGGTACTGTATAGTATATTTTAGGGGAAAGCACTGGCAGAATCACCTCTAAGTATTTTTGCTAAAGACAATTCTATGAAATTAATGGGTCACCATAAGTCCACAAGGGACTTGAAGACACAAACAAACACAAACATACACATCCAACCCATGTTTTAGGCTTCATTAACTAAAATGAATCCATAATTCATGGACCAATGATGCTGAAAACCTTAGAGGACCAGAACCATTTGTGGAACCTATTCGTTACAAATGTCAGTGATTTGCCTTCAAAATGTGAAATGATCCTAGAAGCAGAAGTAGATTTTAGAATTTTATAAAAAAATCAAGTAGATACCATTTGCCAAATTAAATATATATGTTTAAAGACATGTGTGTTTCTTTTTTATTTGCTAGATATTTTACTGGAAGACGTGTCAGATGGAACACTCCACAAAGAAGGGCAGAATGTTAAGATTATAGTTACAATAAACAAGGGTTATGGTCGATCCCAGGTACTAAGACTTTACCCTTTTATTGCTGTGTCCATCATGATACTTGTATTTCTCTCATTACCAACAATGTAGTATATTCATTTAAGAGTCCAACAGGTAACATTGAACACAATGTTATTCTCATCGTGTATTTGTGACATCTTGTCAATTCTAATAGTTGATTATAAATATTCAGGGAATATGACATAACTACATTTCTGATCTAAGAATATAAAGCTACTGTTTCTATCCTTAAAGCTATTGCTGAGTAAAAATATAAGCAAGGAAACCATTATAAACTATAGTGGGATCTCTGAATTAATAAAATGTACCTTATTTTTGTACTGTCCAAAGTATATTTTCAAGAGTTGTAATTTATTCTGTGGGGAAATAATCAAATAACACTGACAAAGGAGCCCCCAGTGATGCAATGGGTTAAACCCTTGTGCCAGCAGGACTGCTGACCAAAAGGTTGGTGGTTCGAATCCGGGGAGCAGGGTGAGCCCCCATTTGCCATCTCCAGCTTCTCATGTGGGGATATGAGAGAAGCCTCCCATAGGATGGTAAAACATCTGGGTGTCCCCTAGGCAACATCCTTGAAGACGGTTAATTCTTTCACACCAGAAGCAACTTGCAGTTTCTCAAGTTGCTCTTGACATGAAAAATAAAACACTGACAAAATATGATATATTATCATGTATAAGTCAACTTCATGTATACATTGGGGATGGGTTTTGGAGCAAATATATATATATATATTAATATGACTTATCAACAAGTCATTCTGTGGAGAGAGGAAAGCATTAGCATCACCTTGGGAGGGCAGCCCCTTTTGGTTGCCACACTATCACTGTTTTCCTGGCCAGGCATTCAAAAAGACCTTTTGCTACTTTATTCAGAGAAGAGAATGCTTTCATTTTTTGATAAACATGAAGGACTTATCAAAAAAAGGAAACCATAGCCTTCTTTTAGTAGAGGGAGAGCTTAGTCCATCCTGAGAGAACCTAAAAGAAGCTCCAATGCCTTCTGCACTCTTGGTGTTCCTTTGAGGGGAAGTACCCAACAGCCATCACTACTGCTGCTGCCATTTAACCCTCCCTTGGCATTAAAAAATTCCAGGAGTGGTGCCATAGCAGAGAATTAGAGGGGGTTTGTGCTTCCTTTAGATTCTCCTGTGACAAAATAAGCCCCTGCCTTTTGTGATTCAAAACAGGAGACGGTTCCTTTTTTTGGTAAGAGGTAAGGTAGATTATTTACATTGATCATGGATCAGTTGACCCAGGTTTTTTGGGTCTTACACACAAGTATATACAGTAATACTTTGTTGAACTGTGAAATTCCCCCCCTTCTTGCTTTTGTTCACTTCCTCTTTTAACTCTGCAGGACCAAAAAATACAGGCATATTTGGTAGGTTCTATCGGAGTCAGTGGTAAAACAAAATGGGATGTATTGGATGGTGTAATCAGGAGGATTTTCAAGGTGAGACTTCGATCAGTCTAGTAGTAGGAGCATTGGCTCCAGTTTACTCTGATGATTTCTCTGTTATCTATTGCTTTGCCTAACCAATTAGATCATGAATAATGTTTATTCATGTTTTTTTAATCATCATAGTGTTCTGCCTGAAGCATGGCTGCTGTGTGGAACAAAGTTACTTAAATATCCAAAAATGAAACATTTTGAATGCTAATCTTGATAAGACTTTAGGCTGGAATCCTGTCCAGTCATTGTATATAGATAAGCACTGTAATTACAGTGCTATGCCTTCATCCTGGCATTACCCCTCATTCCTCACTTACTAGAGATGAGTGACTGCAATAAATATATGCCTCTATCACTAGGGAAGCAACTAGCTGCCATTTCCATCGTTACCTGCAAGTGATCCCCATTACGAGAGACAGAAAAAGGGTCCCTTACACTAGAAATCACTTGTATGAGTGATAATGGGAATGGCAGCCACGGATTCTTAAGCAACAAGGGAATTGACCCCTTCCTCATCAATCACAATGGCTGCTACCTGGTTAATGGAGATTTCTGGACTTTCATGGTCCCTGTGCAATCTAAAAGGTAATCTATGTAGGGACAGTGAATACATAACAGCCACAAATGTATAGCTAAAGGTTTGTAACACGCATTTATAACTGTAATACAGGGTGCTGGTCTATGATATCCTCCTGTTAGATAGAACCATGAAGTGGCTCTAGACATTGATTTTGAATGTCCCCTACATTGATGTCATATACTGCGGTCAGCCCTGCTTCTGAAATCTATGTGTTTGAAATCAGTTATTGTACGAGAAATGTAGCTCTCCATGCAATTTAGGATCCTAATTAAACAGGTGCCTGTGATTAATGTGTGACTGGGATTGATAGTGATCCCTTAGCACTTTTCCATACATTATGCCCCTTCACATGATATGTTATATCAAGGTTACTAGAACCAATCAGACTTGATAATTTTAGCCCCTTCCACACTGCTCTATATCCAAGGATATGAACCCAGATTATCTCCTTTGAACTGGATTATATGAGCCTCCACTGCCAGATAATCTGGGATAAGCAGATATTCTGGGGTCAAATCCTGAGATATAGGGCAGTGTGGAAAGGGCCATAGTGACAACAACAAGGACAAACCACACTTAATTGTTTTTGTTCTAAAGATCCTCCATTTTGTTGCTAGTTATGTCCACTGGGATGTATATCTGAATGATTACCAAAATGTTCACTGATTTACCCATTGAGAGCAATACCTTTTACCACATGCAAAAAGTAGACAATATATGCAAAAGTATTGCTGTAAAGGCCCCAGTTTAATACAGCTATGCCCCTACTTTAATCTTGCTTCCTTTCCTTCATTCTGCATGAGCTACATTATAATACATATATAATAAATGTCAAAACTTTTGAAGATCGCATGAGGTCCAGTGGGAAATACCTTTGTGTTATGAACCTGCCTTTTGACATTTAAACCTCAAACAAAGCAAATGTCCTTTATCTGCAAATGAAGGAAATAAGGCTGACATTTGGAGATGTGGGTACATTTACTTATTCTGTCCTATCATATATAATGCTGTTTTTTTGGTTTATATTTTAATTTAGGAATATGTTTTCCGGGTGGATCCAGGTACTAGCCTTGGTTTAGGCTCAGACTGTATAGCTAGCTATTGTATAGGTGATGTAATTAGATCACATAGCCAAGAAGTGCCTGAACTACTACCTTGTGGATATCTGGTTGGAGATAGTAACATAATCACCGTGAACCTTAAAGGTAATACTGGATTTTTCTTAATATCCCTCTTCTTTACTTACCCCAAATAATTTTTTCTTCATTTTTTTCAGCATTGAATTTAGTAGCTTAATATTGGAATGTTTAAGTAAAAATTAACATATCAAGCATGTTCAGTTTTGTCAGTAAAAATATAAGGAGGGGTGAAAATAATGGTTACTGCTATTAATTCATTTTCTGGTAAAAAAAAAGATGGGTTGGAAATAATTTTGCACAGTTTTTGCCTAGTATTCATGCTTCCTTATGTTTTTCAGGGAAGAATTCTGCACAGAAATACTGATATTTGATGCTGAACAGAAATGTTCTTTTGCACACTCTTTCTAGATAGACAGATGGTTGTTTTGGCACGATCGTTGTTTTCTGCACCAACGTTTCCCCCACTTGCAGCAATCTTGCACAAAAATAATGCACATGGTTCTTTGGTGCAATATTTCTGTTTTCTGAACACAGAGAAATAGCAACCTTGCACAAAAATAAATAGCTGTCTGGAAACAGTGGCTTTGCCCATGCATCACACACCTAGATATGTTATGAAAATGCCTCATCTCCCACTCATAACACTGAAGCTACCCTTAAATATAGGCAGCCATACAGAGGGACAACATTCTGTAGTACTAGGGAATGACGCACCAATAAATGGTGGCCCATCAGTGAGTGGTTGTATGTTCACCAGCATCACAGGTTTTTTTTCTTTCAGTACAGATGCCTGGATTTTAAGGTAAATTTGGGGGCATTTGTGGTCATTGCAATGGTACCACAGTTGCAAATGTGAAAACAATAGTAAATATCTAACAGAAAACTACCCATTGGTTTTTTGGCACAAAAAACAACACTTTTAATGCAACAAGACTCATCAATTTCTGTTCAGAACAATTTCCTGAAACATTTCAAAATGTGTGACTGCCAAGTGAGAATTGTGAAGAAGTGCTCGTTTTCTTTGCAATGAGGAGAAAACTGGAAATTACTCATCTTTACTTGGCAAGAATGAAATACTCAAATATTTGCATCTCTTTTAATAGTAAAGCTAATGTTGCAAAATGTGCTTTAAAATTATTGGATCCCAACAGAAAATGGAATTTCTCTGTGATAGCAAACTGTAAAAATGTACCTTGGAGTATTAATCAGATTCAAAACTTGCATTAAGCCATCTGGCATGTATGTATTGTATTATATTTATTTATTCATATCCCGCTTTCCTCCCAAAGCTGGGACTCAAAGCATCTTACAGAATAGAAAGAGATACAGGTAAAAAACACATGTGGATGAAAAACATACAAAACATTTTTATAGTTACATTTGTAAAAGTTATGTTTATAGTGAAGATGCATACTGCTTATGGAGATGCGCAGCTGCCTTTTCTAACAACCTTGAATTTGAAGGTGTGGTTCAGATTCTAATTCCCTGTGAGACCCCAATCAGATATTACATGGTGAATGTGATTGTTAGTTTTGGATAGATCAGTCTATTTCTAATCAATTTCAGTTTAGGAAATGTCAAGTCACAAATTTCACCTCTTATCTGCATCTATCTGCAATTTGTTTAAAATGCAGAGAAAAATACATTCCAGTGTATTTTCTTATTTCACACTCTATGCAATGTATATTCACTTCATTATACCGGTTTATCCAAAACTATATCACAACGTTTGGTGAAGTGCAATGTGATTTGGTGTTTTTCTTTAGCAGAGCAGACCAAATAAATCCCTGAAATATATCAAGGGATAATACATAGTGAACTAATTATTGGTGAGTGAAGAGGATGTATTTGTGTAGAATAGGACAAGTTAGATCTAACCTTCAGACTTTAAGTATTTTATCCTAACCACATCATGATCACAGCTTGCTATTTCAATACTGAGTTTCCTCCCTTAGTATATAAAATTAGAACAAAATGGAATTTTAGTATAAAATGAGGGGTTAGAATCCTGAATCTACCACTTCAAACAGGGACTTTAAATATTTCATGTAGACATGGGGGCTTTCTATTTTGAGGTTCTTGAAAAAGCCTTTGTGTCATTTGGTGTGATATCTCTCTCCTGCTAACCCTTACTGCTTTCACTTTGACCCTTTTCTTTTAAATGACTCAAATGTTTCAGATATACATCACTGCCCCACTGAGTTTTTGCTTCACGTTTGCTTTGATTACGTTGCTTCCACTCATCTTGTCATGTGGCTATGGCACTGTTTAATCTCTCTTTTTGGCCCTGAAATAAGATCTATGCCCTTCCAGGGCTTTTCAAAACCTGGAAGAAAGGTTTGTACCAAAGACATGTACCCACTAACAACTACAAAAAGAAAAAAGGGGGAAACACAGAAGTTCTTTCTTGAAATTAGTCTGCATGTTCTTGAAAACAGCATTTTCTTTCTCTCCCTTTCCTCCCTTTTTAGGAGTGGAGGAGAATAGTTTGGACAGCTTTGTGTTTGATACATTAATTCCTAAACCCGTTAGTCAACGGTACTTTAATTTACTGATGGAGCATCATAGAATTATCCTGTCAGGGCCCAGTGGCACCGGGAAGACTTATTTAGCCAACAAGCTTGCTGAATATGTGATAACTAAATCTGGAAGGAAGAAAACAGAAGATGCCATTGCTATTTTTAATGTAGATCACAAATCAAGTAAGGTAAGATCTAAGAGAGAAACATGCAAACATACACAGATACAAATACCTATCTATTTGTTGTTGTATATTGCCCAGCCAGTGTAAATACAAATACAAATGGAAATTTGAATATCTTACAAAAATATAATATGCATTTACATAGAATACAATGATTTTTTTTCTGAAGAGAGGTTGAACATTTTCATCTTTTTGAAAAATCATAAATCACATCTTTCTGCTTGCGCTAACCAAATGCTTTTACTCCTGTGTCAATTTGGCCCAGAGCAGCTTACAGACACAGCAAATATGTGCTCAATCAAGGCCATTGTCCAGACTGGGACTGCATAGGCCCCATTGGGGCTGTCACTTCTGTGTCAGTGCACCTGCCACCACTCTTAGCTTTTTTTTTTTTGTCGTGTCAGGAGCGACTTGAGAAACTGCAAGTCACTTCTGGTGTGAGAGAATTGGCCGTCTGCAAGGACGTTGCCCAGAGGACGCCTGGATGATTTGATGTTTTTATCATCCTTGTGGGAAGCTTCTCTCATGTCCCTGCACGAGGAGCTGGAGCTGATAGAGGGAGCTCATCCGCCTCTCCCCGGATTCGAACCTGTGACCTGTGGGTCTTCAGTCCTGCCGGCACAGGGGTTTAACCCACTGCGCCACCGGGGGCTCCACACCACTCTTAGCTGACCATTGTGGTCATATCCACTGATGTCACAATGAGGTGGCCACATGACCAGCAGGAAGGAGACATGACAGGCAGTGTCCAGGCACTCAGACTGAGTTCTGTAGTTGGCTAGGAGTGACAGTGGTGACTACATAGGTGTAAACCATCTCATTCCCTGATCAGCAAGGGGAAAGGATAATGCTGACGATGTCTGCCTGGACAATATGTCTGGCCAAATGGGACCCAACCCAGTGTCTAGACTAACCTGAAGTGCCCAAATACTCTGGAGTTTCAAATAAGTTCCAGAGTATCTTCAGACTTTAGCTAAGTGGGACAACATGAAATGTACAAAAACGCCATCACCACTACCATGGGATACTCACCAGAACCCTTGTGAACATTAAAAAAAGCCATCCAGCCATTTGTGCTGTGTACAGATGTTTTTGGCCCGTCTTTGAATCCTTCTGCTTCCTCCAGAATTGCCGAGTCTCCCATACCCCTTGTGCACTAAATTTTTTCTCCATTATCACAAAATAAGTTTTGAAGATAAATAGGTAGTGGAACCCCAGGTCTCGGCGGTGGTCAGGGGAGCTTTTGCACAATTAAAACTTGTGCGCCAGCTGCTCCCGTACCTTGGGAAGTTTGACTTGGCCACGGTGGTCCACGCTCTGGTTACATCCTGTTTAGACTACTGCAACGCTCTCTACGTGGGGTTGCCTCTGAAGACTGCCCGGAAGCTGCAATTAGTCCAACGAGCGGCAGCCAGATTACTAACACGAGCGCCAGCTCCACTGGCTGCCAGTTAGCTTCCGAGCACAATTCAAAGTGCTGGTGTTGACCTATAAATCCCTAAACGACTCCGGCCCAGTTTCCCTGTCCGAACGGATTCTCCCCTATGAACCATCAAGGTTGTTAAYATCTTCTGGAAGGGCCCTGCTCTCCGTCCCACCATCTTCGCAATTGCGTCTGGTGGGGACGAGGGACAGAGCCTTCTCGGTGGTGGCCCCTCGACTCTGGAACTCTCTCCCATTGGAGATTAGAACTGCCCCTTCCCTCCTGACCTTTAGAAAGTTGGTGAAAACCTGGCTTTGGAATCCAGCATTTGATGAGTGAGGCAATGGCTTTTGACCACACAGATGGATGGAGGGTGATGAATAGTGATTTTTATGCTAACGACTTGGCTTTATATAATTATATGATAGTACTTTAATGTGTTTATATTATCGATGTGATGTTTTTAAACTATTGTGTATGAACCCCCTTGTTGTAAACTGGCCTAAGTCCCTCGTTGGAGGTGAGAAGACCGGATATAAAAGTTCTAAATAAAAATAAATAAATAAATAATGGGACTACAAGAGAGAGAGTGGTGAGTGGCAGTGGAATCCGCATTACATAATCAGTTGGAGCCTGACTATAATGTCATTATTAACAGCTTGAAGAAAATGTAGCCTCAGTCTATTGCTTGTGTACTGTGTGTTGTATTATATACTATCTCCTATCAAGAACCCTGCCTGATCAGAAACCATTGTCTCATGTAAGAACCTGTCAGAGCTTCATCCCTGGTAGGGCAGGAACAGGAAGCATTAGCAGGCCCTCAAGCTCACTTGTAGCTAGCATCTTGTCCAGTGGTTCTCAACCTATGGGTTCCCAGATGTTTTCACCTTCAACTCCCAGAAATCTTAACAGCTGGTAAACTGGCTGGGATTTTGGGGAGTTGTAGGCTAAAGCACCTGGGGACCCACAGGTTGAGAACTACTGATCTTCTCTATCAGAACAGGGATTAGGCAAATGACAACAGGAAGCCCTTGCTTTAACAGAAGCTTGGTAGACATGAGGAGACCAGTATAAATCTTTCCATTTTATTCTATTGCCTTTCTTTTCTACAAGGATGTGCAACAATATCTTGCTAATTTGGCTGAACAGTGCAGTGCTGACAACAGTAGTGCTGACCTCCCAGTGGTAATAATTCTTGACAACCTCCACCATGTTGGTTCTTTGAGTGACATCTTCAATGGTTTCCTTAATTGTAAATATAACAAATGGTAAGTTTTGTCTTTACCTTGTTGTGAAATAAATCTAAACATAAAGATTAGCATAGCAGATGGAAGATTAATTTTGTGTACAATCAGTCCAATTTAATTAAGAAACATGAGCAATTCCATTATTGTCTGTTAAGCATGTTGTATGTATACTTTTAGGGCATGAGGTTAAATAAACTTAAATGTTAATGATAAAATTCTGAAATGTTTCTTTTGAAACAAAGACCTTATTCAAGGCCTTACTCAGTGAAACAGTTCAGTATAACTGGACATTTTTAGCATACTGCTTTAAGTCTTCTCCGCTTATAATAAAATGGCAAACTGATCTTTATTCACCATAGCAGTATAACCTTAATAATAATATTTTCTACTAGCTATTGCTTTGTCTATCATTGAGGAGGTCTGACAATGCTATTCCACTGGAGTTTAAGAAGCCTCCAGTAGAACACTTCATTTTACTTAGGTTTTGCATGAATAATGAACCTGATTTTATTGTGTTTTTATTCTATCTCCACCCTTCAATTGATTTAGTATTTTGTTGAATTTTAATAGTGATTTTTTTCTCTTTTTTTGGATGAGCTCTTAACTTAAAAGTCAGAGTCAAAATGGGTTAAATAAATGAATTAACACCTTCAACCTTAAATATTTTAGCCCCTATATTATTGGAACAATGAACCAGGGAGTTTCATCTTCACCTAACCTAGAATTGCACCAGAACTTCAGGTAAGTGTTCTTTCTGCTTGTGAAATCCTATGCATGCCAACTAAGAATTAAGTCCCTCTGAGATGAATCGACCTTTCTTCCACATTAGTCTGGATAGGATTACAGTCTGAAATACCAATTTTAGGACCTTTCTGGAAGATTTATTTTTAATTAGAATACCTGAGTGATTAAATCTCTGTTCTTTCTAATATGGATATTAGGAAAATAGCTATAGGAGGGAAAAATAAAAGAATATCCCCACAAAAAAATCTGTTAAATAAATTATTATTTTTCAGTCCCCAAGTTTTTAAAACTCCAGAGAGTGAGACACCAAAAATTGTTCACCTATAGAAGTCTTCTATTTCTTGTGCTTGCATTCCCACGATATATTTGACTACCTGTTTTATTTGGATGCCCAAAATTGTATTTAAAATCATTAAGTGAAGTTTGAAGTTACTGAAATGCTAGAGGATGACTCTGCTGTCAGTTTGAGTGTGTAGTACAGAACTTGTGTATCTTGAATCCACTATCTTTATCTCTTTTGTCTTTGTCTGTGTAGGTGGGTGCTGTGTGCTAATCACATGGAGCCAGTCAAAGGCTTCTTATCTAGGTATTTGAGAAGGAAATTGATTGAGACAGAAATTGAGAGAAATTTCCGCAATAATGACCTCATAAAAATTATTGACTGGATTCCTAAGACATGGCATCATCTCAACAGCTTCTTAGAAACACACAGTTCTTCTGATGTAACCATTGGTGAGGCCTTTCTTCAATTAATAATGCTAATTAAAGGTCAATACGGAACCTCAAGGCTTATCTAAACTTACAGGCTTACTTTCAGTTTGGTTCTCTGATGTCAGAATAATTGGCAGCTAACCTTTTGTGTCTAAAGAAAACATTTGGAAGTTGGTTGAATCGGAAGTTGTATTTGTGAACTTCATATTGCTGCTTAAGAGCTGTAATGAAAATTTCCTTGCTAAAAGACACAAAATCATTGACATCTGCTTCACAGCTGCAGTATATTGGCTGAGCTCATTCTTCATTTTTGTACAACGTTATCAGCTCAGCAAGAACTCATAGGATTCACCACACTTCTAAACAATCCAAACACCATCTTCACTATATTTTTAAACAAATTTATTTAGTTTGGTGAAATTGCAGAATGGCATATTTGTGCCTAGGATTTAAATAGAAAATCATTTTGAAAATGTAGCTCTGATATGACAATTGTGAGGAATAACATCCACCAGTAGAGTAGATCAGGGAAACAACATCACAGCATTATTGTTCTTGAACATGAACTGTATTTCCTTTGGCCTATCTCTGCATATTGCTACTGCAACCTACTTAACACACATTGCCAATAAGATATCTTGGAAGATAATGCCCTGCCAAAAACAGTAACTATGTTTAATTCAAATATGGACCAGAGTCCTATACCATAATCCATGTTGTGAAAATGTAAATCTACTTAACTACAAGCAAAGGCACTAAGAAACCCTGTTAGTGAACAACAAAGATGCATAATGGGACACCAGAAAGAGCAGCCATGGGCAAACCAGCCCTCCAAATGTTTTGGACTTCCAACTCACACAATTCCTAACAGCCTAGAGGCCATTAGGAATTGTGGGAGTTGAAGTCCAAAACCCCTGGAGGGGTTAAGTTTGCCCATGGCTGAGCAAGAGTGTTGCAATGAACATCAATAGATCTTGTGATGCATTGGCCTTCCCTAGCTGCTGTTCTGATGCATATCGAATTCCAGTGTGTATCAGTCTGTGTTGTTGTACATTAGTCCCAATAAGTATTGGGTCCAATTGGTCACTTTTCTGGTTCTGCTACATAGCACGTTATCTCTGTTGGATGTAAATGTTACAAAACTGCCCAGTTCTAACAGACATAAATCAATTTAAAATGGACATAATTCCCACACAGTATTCTGGCCAATATTTCCAATTCATTGTATTTCAGTAGATCTCAAATTCTGAAGGTTTATTTAGTTCTTCTCAGCATTATACTGCTTAATCCAAAAGTTCCCTGCACGCTTGTGATATCAAAGCAACTATTACTATATATGTGCAGGTTAGACTCCCTCAACAACCCCCAAAAGGAGAAGTACATTTTAACTCACACATTTTTTTCCCTCACATTTTCCTCCAACAATCTTTGCCTAGACCCTGCTACGGCATCAAAATATATCAGCCAATAACACTAATAGAAACAGAGAAGGCAGAAGGTTCAAAGACCAAGGATATAATTACATGAATAATGTGCCCAAGAATAACATCATTTTACATGTTAAGAACAAACAGAGTTTTTTAACTGAGCTTTTTTGTTTAAAGAAACTCCAACTCAATTTAGCAGTCACTTACACAGCAGCTGTGAGCAGCTGCAGTATAGACAAGTAAGTGAGCTATTGTTCAAAGTATTTAAGAGGCAGTGTGCCTTGTTTTAAAGTAAGTATGATTTATTGTTTCTCCCAACATAAGTAAATACCAACGGGAAGTTATGAATAAATTTATTTTTATAAATGTAGTTTTTACAAGCCATACTCTAAGACTTTATAAACAACATAAAGAAAAACATTTTCTATTATTTTTGATGTTTTAAATGAACAGGCAATTAATATTATAAATAATATTGTTAGCACATTTTAAAAACAAATATGGTATTTTTCCAGGTCCTCGCCTTTTTCTACCCTGCCCTATAGACGTTGATGGTTCCAGGGTGTGGTTCACAGATCTCTGGAATTATTCCTTGGTACCATATATTATGGAAGCTGTGAGAGAAGGACTTCAGGTAAAACTTTAGTGTGCTATGTTCAAGTTTTGCATATGTAGTTCTTGCCACTGCCAACTACCATTTCTTCTTTCACAGAATGTCCAGAATAATACTATGCAATGTGGAGATACATTCTAAAATAAGCAAAATCCCCATTGGAAACCACTATTTTCTCATAAAAATGGTCCATGAAATGATGCTATAATCCAAAGTAGCATTATTGTGGAAATTCAAGGGAAGCAAACATGGTGGCCATAAACACTAAGGAGAATTTTGTTTCCTGAAATTGAAACAAAACTAGTCAGTGCTCATCTCCACCCGTTTCCTCTGTCCACATTGGAGCAAGATGGTATTTGGTTATAATTTTTGCTCCAGCATTCTTCAAACAAAAGGAAATAATATGTGTGTTTATTTGGTTAGAATTTTCTATAGTTATCTTAGTTATGTATATATACTTAGTAGGTGTGTGTGAAATTCCGTCGGCCAATTTGGATTTTGGATAATTTCAGAGATCCAGCAGCTGAACTGCTTGAAATGTACCAGGAAGGATGCCTTTGGAACCTTCCCAGAATGAAAAGTGGACCACCTAATCATTCAGCTAAAAATTCAGGAACGGTTCATTGATTTGGGTTTACTTTTCACATTGATTATCTGACCGTTCATTTTGCAAGCAATCTCTCGATGGTGGGGGTGAAGGGGCTAAACGACAAGCTCAGCCACACTTGCTGCATCACATTTCTCAGCCAATCACAGGCCTGGTTCTGTACATACAGCTCCCCTCTTGTGGTGCACACTAGCTTGAACTTCAAATCCCAGAACCCCCTCTTATGGTTTTTAAAAAAAATAAAAATCTTATTGGCAAAAACTTTATTTTTTTCCCCAAAACCAGTAGATTAGTGAAATATTTTGAAACTTGGCAGACCTGCAGTCATAAATGTGGCTTACAAGTCTGACAAGTTTCATTCAAATAACTTTTTTTAAAAAAAAAAAAAATCAGGCCTGAAAGCATGTGACTTGTCCAAAAGGCTTAAATTGGAAAAATGTCCTTAAAATCAGTGGATGAGGGGATCTTTCTGAAACTTGGCAGAAATCATGCCCTACTCCTGTTCTGTCACTATGGAGAAATTCCATAGGACACCTTTTTTGTTTTTTTAAAAAATGTTATTTATAAAAACTTAATTTTTTTTCCAAATATCAGTGAATTAATGAAATGTTTTGAAACTTGGGAGGCTTGCAGTCATAAACATGTCCTAAAGTGTGGTAAATTTCCCCCTGATAGCCATAAAATGACTGAGAAATCCCCCCCCCTCATGTTTCTGAATGCAGCCAGCTGCATCAATTTCTCAGCCAGACACAGGCTTGTTGTGGCCATTCTCCTCCCATCTTGTGGCATGCACTGGCTTGGGCTTCAAATCCCAGAAACCCCTCTTGTGGTTTTTTAAAAGAATGTTATTTTCTAAAACTTTTTTAATTTCCCAAAAATCAATGGATTAGCAAAAATGATTTGCAACATGGCAGGCTTGTAGATGTGACTGTATCCTACAAGTATGCCAGGTTTTATCCTGATAGCCATAAAAATGATGGAAAGCCAAAGGGTGCAGGTATCCCCATTGACACCAATGGACCGAATCTTAGCAAAATGAAAATGGAACTCAGGATTCTGAATTATGAATCTGACCCCCCCCCCCCCAATCTCCTGAATTTTCCCAAAAACAGAATGGTGGGGGGACCAAAAACAGAACTGAAAACAGAATTGATTTCTGCTGTTTCGCACACCCTAATACTTACCTTCATAGCACAGCATCTAAAAAACCCTGTTAGTGAATTGCAAACATATGAATCAGGGCACTGATGAGAGTGTCTTAATGCACATTGAGTTATACCAATGTATATTGGCAATTACAAGCCATTGTCTAAATATACATCAGTCACTTCACGGGCTATGTAATAATGTAGGACACGTTGATGAATATTGACATTGTGAAATGACTCTGTTTTATTTCTTACAGATGAGCCCATTTAGGAAAGTACAAATCACTTACTGAATTTTGTTCTTCATTTTTATTTTGGGGTGGACATTTAGATGTATGGTAAACGAGCACCTTGGGAAGATCCCTCAAAGTGGATAGCAGAGACGTGCCCATGGAGTTCTTTGCAGCATGACTGGTCATCATTACTTCAGTTAAGACCTGAAGATGTTGGTTATGAAGGTTATGCATCTGCCAAAGAAGGAACGACCTCAAAGCACATTTCACAAACAGAGTCTGAAGGCGATCCCTTGGTAAAATGAAAACTTTTTATTATTTTTTATAAGCTATGTTGTTTGCTTTTCATCATTAATAAATGTACATGGATTCAGTTTGTTTCCCAGCTAAAAATGTGAAAGTATAGAACAGACATCTGTTTTTATGAATATGTGTTGTCATCCTGGGACACCAGGAGAAAAAAAAAACTTTTGATATCCTAACATTCAAGATCAAATTACTTTAAGAGCCGAATCTCAGAATTTATACACAAAGTTTGCTAACATTCCATATCACATCAGAATGAGCTAAAAACAGAACAGAAGTTAGTGATATTGAGATATGCTCATATTTGCTTCATGCTATTTAAGTTGTTCCCTTCCCTAAAAGTTTTCTTGAATCTAATTCTTACTTCTTGTGGGTGAATGGCTGCCATTAATTTTGGGAGGCGGCGGGGGGATTGCATTTGTAAGGGAATAAAGATAGATTGAGAAGAATGATGGATAATGGGCAGAAAACTCAGGAGAAACTATTGTGAGGATGGAAAAGCACAGAGAAGGCAGTGACAGAGTGAACACATTAGGAATGTTTGAAGGGAGAAATGCAAAAGAATCCAGAGAATATTAGAGGTATATATATAAATAAGTTAAGTTAAGAGATGGGCATGTGTAAGATGGACATAGGAGGGTGGATTAAAACATAGTGCTATTTCTACATGATTTTTGATGGAAGACAACTTTGCTCTTCATTTTAAATAATGCACCATTTAAAAATGCTGTCAGTGTAGATCATTTCCCTGAACACCATGACAAGAGGGAAGCTTTATAAATATCAGTTATAATTATGGTAATTTTAGACACTGAGCATCCCAGGAGTCCCTGGGGCTCTTGATGTTAAGTAAGATGTGCTTAAAGTCTGCACTGGAACCCAGCCTCACAGCTGTGGTGTGCTATTTTCTCTTGCCAAGGTCAGCTTGTGGACAGCAGATGGTGCTCTAGCATTCAGCAGTTGGCTTCTGCCCATTCCACTTCATACATTCCACCTCCCCTTTCTCAGAGATGCAAATATGAAAAGGATCATGTTTCCTTTTCTTCCCCCGTGAATCCTTCTTAAACTTAGATAACTCGTGGCATTGGGAAAATGACTGGCTCAGATCAAGAGCTCCCTTTCCCACACCTTTCAGTTCCCATTTCTTTGCATTTTTTCCCTTGTTTCTATTCATTTATGACTATTCAGGCCTCCAAAAAAGAAGAAATCAAAGGTGTACCTTGGAGAAGGCAGTGTATTCAGTCTTGAGTATTCCAAGCTCTGTAATATTGTGAAGTTTTATTGTGACCATCCCATCCTCTTTGCTTTTTGTGGGGCTCTGAAAAATATAGATACCGTTGTGTTAATTCATACATCAAACGACAAGCATTTCCTTACCTCTTTTTCAGATGAATATGCTAATGCGGCTCAAAGAGGCAGCCAGCCACTCAAGTGCACAGAGCTGTGACAGCGATACTGCCAGTCACCATGATGAAATCCTGGACCCCTCACTTGAATCAACACTCTAGAAGGGACTGGGCATGGGTAGAGGATGTTGGTAAACCTATTCCCGCTTCAGGTTCTGCCAGTATTGAAGCAGTAAGTCAGGGCGCCCCGAGAGAGAGAGAGAGAGATTGAGAGAGATTGAGAGAAAGAAACAGAGAGTGAGAATGAGAGCAAGGAAGAAAAAAGCTGTGTCATATTTAGGTGGTCGACTTCACTCTGAAAAAGTCATGAACACAAATCAAAAAGGAAAGCTTGAATTAGTTTAATTTCAAGACATTTCAGTATCTATGGAGCTGAGTGAGACCCCATCAATCAACTGGAAAAGGCCTTTTCACAGGAGGGCAACTAATCTGATTGCACATGTGTTAGCCAAACTGGAACCTCTTTGGGTTTGTTTTTTTTTTCCTTCCTGTCTCAAAGGTTTACAGTGCAGTATTTTTATTTTACACTTCAATTTTCTCTGAGGTGCTGCATTGGTGGTCTTCTTGATCCACCTCCTCTGACCTCTGTTGTGCCCCAACGGCACTTCTTACAGGACTCCAGTAGTGTTTCAGTTGTACACTGCTGCCCATTCCAAAATGAGTTTATGGGGTGGGGGGTAGAATGGGGTGGGGGGAGGACATGAGAGTAAACTCAATAAGCACAAAAGTATTGTGCAATTGCCAGAAAAAACGCTACTGTGATATGCTGGATAAGTGCCAATTTGATACTAAACTGCCATGTTTGCAGTGATATGGTCCATCAAGGTTTCTGGGTTTTTGTGTGTGTAAAAACTCATCTGTTTTATATACAAGTTGTTTTTAACCACAAGGGTATTTTATAAACACCTGCCCATCTCTTAACTTCACATCCAACACTGACTAAAGGCTTTCTTAGGGCTTTGTTTTTGAGCCTTTTCAGTGGAGGGGAAATAAAAGAGAATATTTCCTATGGTGCTGTCTCACTGCCTTAAAATCAATTTCTAGAACAGTTTTACAGTTGGTTTAATTTGTTAAACCATTGATTATTTACACTGTTTTCTTTCTTCATTTACTAATGAGAGAGCATCCATGAACACAGAAGCTTCATGTCTGTATGCCATGATGTGTAAAAATGAGATGGCTGGAAGGGTGAACTATTGATATAGATATATAGATAGTATTTTTTATCTTGTGGGTAGATTGCCTACCATCCAAAATGTTCAAGTGACTCAGAAGCCACACCCAATTAATTATGGTTAAAGACAAAAGCCCAAGATGGTTGGCTCAAACCCATTTAGTCCTATGGAACGAGCTGATTGAAAGATAAATAGTTGGGGGGGAAAGCACCCAGCAGAGCTGGGTAAGCGTGTTGCAGCATGAGCACAATTTTTCTTTATTTTTCTTCCCTCCTCTTTTCCCCCCAGTTTGAAGCATGTTGTTTTAATTGCAGTTGTTGTACATGAAGAAATTCAGCATTATGAACACTGCCACAGTGATACCCACTGTGGAAGAGAGAAAAGTTTATACTGTAAAAGGGGAGGGGGTTGGTTTTGCACAGTCTACTGGGAGGGGTATTGTAAATATTAAAAAAGAGCCTTGCACAAATGAAAGCAAACAAACAGCAACAACAAAAAATAAGAAACTGTATTTTATCCTGTTGGTGTTAAGAGATGTTTCATTTATTGAGATGATCTGTATGTTACAAACAAAATCCAGAGCGCAAACTTTACAATCTGTTTTAATCTCACCTGGTGTGTTTGTCTTGTATTTAGAATTGTTATGACTATGCAGGAGCTATTTGTGCTAGAGTGAGCATGTTTCAATTTACATTATAAAGCCAATAAATTGTAGGAGAAAACAAAAAATTACTTTGCTAACTATCCTGGCAGGCTACACCAGAATGAATGAAAACTGATCAGAGTAATTGGATGTGCTGATTCAAATTAACACAGATAAGCCAAGGGCTATGGCATTGTGTAGATACGGACTTGTACATTTGGAGTCACAGTCCTGAAAATACTCACTTGAAGCATGCCCAGTTGCCTGGTGTGTGCGAGTGAAGCACTTTTGGTTCTAGCTAGCCAATGGCTATCTTCAGGACATCCAAGTGGTGCTACAAACTCTGGTGACCATCTTTTGGCCATCTATTATATCACACTAAGACCAGTGCAGTTTTCCTTGCTGTATCACTGAAGATACAGGTCTCCTACGCGGTGCTATTGCCCTAATAAAAAAACAATCAACCTCTGATTTTATGCACACAGAATGTAGTCAGAATTACGTCAGGCACCAAAATTAAGATTCTTTTCTTATATTGTTAAATAGCATGTCACACTCTGGCAAATATTATAACATCAGCTGGTCTTTATTATATATGTGGTCTAAAACAACAAGCAAACCATTCGTTCCTGCCACTTCCAACACACATGCACACACTTACACAAAACCTATATATGTGTGCCATGTAATACAACATTCCCTGCAATACATCTCAGTGAATCCACCTAGTTTACAACTTTAAAAATTTGTTTGTGAAACATTTGTCTGTACACATTTTATATTTTGTACATTTTTGATGTAACATATCATGTAAATAGACAGAAACAGTGAGATAAATCATCTGAAAAGTTTTGTAGTCTTTGTAAAGCCCTAATAATAAGTATTTGGTGTCATCAGACTTAACTGGATGATGTATTTTCTATTGATTTATTGTTCTTCTAGCTTGTAAACCAGCTTGCATATATTTTTTGCAGGTGTGCACACTGTATCTGTCTAAATTATTACTTTGCCATTAAAGTGGAATTATTTATTGACAGTTGAGTCTGTTGTCTTTGCACTTAAGAGATCAAGACTGTTAGGCAATCTCATGGTAATATTTATGTTTTGTGGCATTAGGAAGCATAGCTATGTCTTCTTGTGCAACCCTTCAAAATCTATCTTTTCAGCAACACAGCCTCCTCCCAACACAACCATAACTATGTTGCTGGGGAGTAAGCAAAGATACATCTGAGTCTCTTTATGAATATGCTGTAATAGGCATCTGCAACACCCAAGGTCTGAACTCTTCTTTCCACTCGGTGGAAACATTTATTTATTTATTTATTTATTTATTTACCTTATTTATATACCACCTTTCTCAGCCCGAGGGCGACTTAGGGCAGTTGGAAACAATGGCCATCTTGTGGGTTGCAGGCTGTACTGCTAAACMGTAGACTTTGTGAGGAGGGTTTGCTTGTTGCATGTATTAGGACCATTAAAAAGAATAAGATATTTATGACATTGCAATTACTGAAAAGGATGCCAGCCTGAACTATTTGGACATCAAGTATCCTCTTGCTGCATAATTCTACATGACAGCCCCTCAAGAGCAAAACAAAGGAACAAAGAGGGAGAAATGAGTTTAAATACTATGTGAAAGATAAGTATTTATTTATTTATTTATTTACAGTATTTTTATGCCACTTTTCTCACCCCGAGYGGGACTCAAAGCGGTTTACACATAAGTAATGGCAAAATTCAATGCCAGTACAAACAATTACAATTATACACTACAATTAAACATAAATCAAATTAAAACCATACATCCATAAACAATAAAACAATCATTAAAACAATAAAACAGTCTCGTTCYTCAAATCGCCATTCCAGTCATTGTCTTCCTGAAATGCTGCATATATTTACTTCTACTGCCCATGATTTTAATTTTTCCTAAAAGCCAGGAGGGAGGGAGCGGATCTTACCTCATATGAGTGTGTGTTCCACAGGTGGGGGGCCACAGCCGAGAAGGCCCTGTCTCTCATCCCCGCCAGGCGCATCTGTGCCGTTGATGGGCGCGAGAGCAGGGCCTCCCTGGATGATCTTAAATTATGAGGTGGGACGTAGGGGCGGATGCATTCGGACAAGTAAGCTGGGCCAGAACCGTATAGAGCTTTATAGGTCAAGAGCAGCACTTTCAATTGGGCTCAGAGATGGACTGGCAGCCAGTGGAGCGGACATAGCAGGGGGGTGGTATGCTCCATGTATGCCGCCCCAGTTAGTAATCTGGCTGCCTCCCATTGGACTAACAGAAGTTTCCGAACCATCTTCAAAGGCAGCCCCATGTAGAGCATGTTGCAGTAATCTATTCGGGATGTAACCAGAGTGTGGACCACCATGGCCAGATCAGACTTCCCAAGGTACGGGCGTAGCTAGTGCACGAGTTTTAACTGTGCAAAAACTCCCCTGGCTACCGCCGAAACCTGGGATTCCAGGCTCAGCGATGAATCCAGGATCACTCCCAAGCTGCGAACCCGCATCTTCAGGGGGAGTGTAACCCCATCCAACACAGGCTGTAACCCTATGCCCTGTTTGGCCGTTCGACTGACCAGTAGGACCTCTGTCTTGTCTGGATTCAATTTCAATTTGTTAGCCCTCATCCAGTCCAACACAGAGGCCAAGCACTGGTTCAAGGTCTGGACAACCTCCTTAGTAATGGGTGGGAAGGAGTGACAGATTTGGATGCCATCTGTGTACAGATAACAGCTTACTCCGAAACTCCGGATGATCACCCCCAGCGGCTTCATGTAGATGTTAAATAACATCGGGGACAGTACTGAACCCTGAGGGACTCCACAAGACAATGGTTGTGGAGCTGAACAGGTGTCACCCAGTAACACCTTCTGAGACCGACCCTCCAGGAAGGACCGAAGCCACTGCAGAACAGTATCTCCAAGTCCCATTTCTGCGAGGAGTCCCAGAAGGATACCGTGGTCAACGGTATTGAAGGCCACTGAGAGGTCCAGCAGAACCAACAGGGACACGCTCCCCTTGTTGAGCTCCCAGCGAAGATCATCTACTAAGGCAACCATGGCTGTTTCAGTGCCGTGTCCCAGCCTAAAGCCAGACTGTGCCGAATCTAGATAATCAGTGTCTACCAAGAACCCCTGGAGTTGCGAAGCCACCACATGTTCCATGACTTTGCCCAAGTATGGAAGATTGGAAACTGGCCGAAAGTTGACTAATTGAGTGGGGTCCAGTGATGGTTTTTTCAACAGCCTGTTTTAGGCTGGCCGGAGTCTTGCCCTCCTGTAAGGAGGCATTAACCACCACCTTAACCCACTCTGCCAAACCCCCTCTGGCTTCTTTGATCAGCCAGGATGGACAAGGGTCTAGGATGCATGTGGTTGGCCTCGCCTCTCCAAGGATCCTGTCCACATCCTCGAGCTGAACCAATTGAAAAGAATCCATTAAAAACGGACAAGCAGGTGCTCATGTTACATCCTCAGAGACTGCTGTTAATGTGGCATCAAAGTCGGAATGGATCAGTTCAACTTTGTCTGCAAAGAACCGAGCAAACGCTTCACAGCGATCTGCCGAGTTGTCAGGGATCTCGCTCTGAGGCAGATTTAATAGTCCTCTGACAACTCGGAACAGCTCAGCCATATCCCAATAATATAGAAACATTATTGTGCATATTCCTTCCTACATGAGCAACTAGCTTGAAAAGTCACATATTATCACTAAGAACTTTAATAATAATAGTAGTTCTAAAATTCTTTACCATGTTTATGGGCAGAAAATGTGGTCTATTTGACAGAATTTCTCCACAAGGGGTGAGTAGGAATAGTATTTTACAACCTCTCAAATGTGAGACATTAGGCATGGGTATAGCATATATTTTAACTCCTTTAAAGGAGAAATAAGGTTTTCTTCTACTACCACTGTATACTCTTGCAATGTTATAATATAGAATAGTTACAAATCTGTAACTCTAGATTTTGAATCCGTAACTGCAATAGGGTCTAGAAACAGCAAAGATGACTAGTGCGACAAAAGATCCACACACATTGTCCTATTAATCAAGCAAACATGAGAAGTACCAAACCAGGGTTGAAACATATGTGGCCAATCAGATGCTATTCAACTGCAACTTCCAGCTTTGCCAATTATAACTAATGGTGTGTGTTGTGTTTCAACAACCTTTAAAAAGTTACATCACTCCCACCTCTGCCTTAAACAAACCCATGAGAATGTTGGTGTAACTTTATATTCTTTAAAATGGCAATTTCTTTTACATTAAACTGAATTATAATGTGCAGCATTCAAAAATAAAAATAGAAGACATTTTAGTCCATTTCTTGTAAGAATTGCTGGACTTGCTACAGCATAAGATATACTTCCAGGATGAACCATCGGCCTTGTCATAGCTTGGCTTAACCAGAAATAATGTACACTCCTTTAGAAAAGTAATCTGAGAACTCATGCAAATGCACCTCACAATTCTTCTTTTTGGAATGTTACTGTTTGCATATGTACCCATTCCTGGGAGCCTTTAGGGGATGGTAACATGATTTCCCTGCCCAATGGAATGAATACCCATGTGAAAATCATTAGTTAAACACATGTTGTCCTCTCCCCTTAATGCTGAAGAATGGAAAGTTCGAACACAGGGGTCTTAAAGCTAAGGCCCTTGGGCCGGATGCGGCCCTCTAAGGTCATTTACCCGCCCCTCGCTCAGGGTCAACCTAAGTCTGAAACTACTTGAAAGCACACAAGAACAACAATCCTACCTCATCAGCCAATAGCAGACCCACACTTCCCAATGAAATACTAATAAGTTTACATTTTTAAAATTGTTCTTCATTTTAATTATTGAATTGTTTTAAGTGTTTTTGCACTACAAATAAGATATGTGCACTGTGCATAGGAATTCATTTATGGTTTTTTCCCCCAAATTATAATCTGGCCACCCAACAGTTTGAGGGACTGTGACCTGGCCCTCTGTTTAAAAAGTTTGTGGACCCCTGTTCTAACATATATAATTGCTTTTCAAAGCCCGATGGCTTAAATACACACAGTTAGATCCAGATGTAAGTGAAAGAAATGGGGTTTATTCCTTTTCCACCCCATTCTCTTGGACCAACAAATAAGGTGCATTGTGGCTGAGGAAGCCAAGGAGAAATGGGGGAAGATCAGGCCAAAACAGTTTCCAGGAACAGAATATCTGCTCTTGGAAGCTCTGTGTTTCATTATGAGATCAATGTCTCTGTCCTTCTCTTGATCCTCCAGAACACCTTCATGTGGGGCTTTCAGAACAAAGAAATGATGTGTCCATTTGATTCAATGTCATTTTATGGTTGCCTCTGCATCCAATCCTTTAGCCAGATAAAAAGGGGAAGAGCTGTTGCAGTAAAAAGGCATAAAATCATCTGTGCAGTAGTATAGTGAGAAACTGGTGGCAGTAATATTTGAAGAGGTGGAAAGAACATTATGATTTAAGCCAGAAACAACTGCAGAGCTTCATTGCAAGTCACATGTAAAACCCCTCAAGACATTGTCTGCCTCCAATCCCTGCCCAGACAACCATCCAACACTATTCTAGAAATTGTATACATTTGTAAAAGGATTCTCCAAATTGTACTGTCATTCACCTAAAAAGAAAACACTGAGACTTTACCTAGTTATACCTTACTGATCAATGCAAGAGAGTGGACAATATAACAGATGGGCAAAATTCTATAACTATAATCTATATCTGTATTCTCTCAATATAAAAGGCAGGCAGTTGTGAAGCCCTAATTATAGCCATATGAAACCTTCAAAAGAATTATGTGGCCTCAAATACATGATACCTGATTATGACTGTGTTTCTATGTCAATGAATATTGGGTAATGATTGAAAAATAATTTTGAACCTCACCATCTTACACAGAGATACACTAGGCCTGCATAATGCATTTCTTGAGTGGACTACAGCATCAGAACAAGAAGTTGTGGTAACAAAAACTGCACAGTTGGCTCCCAAGTTGTATGGAAACTTGCAGTTTTCCCTT